AAGGTCATCAGTTTGCCTTCTCCATGCTGTTTTCACAATGAAAATCGAGCGAACGTTGTAAATATGGCTAGAATTTAAATTTTTGTTCGAATTTACATGCAATCTGCTAATATATTTGTTTATTTTCTGTGCATATACATTTCGTTCGTATTTACTTCTTTCGGAAGACGTTTATTAAAAATACAGCTGTAAATTGAAACCACTGTAGTTGCGTATCGTGAGCAATAAGTGGAAGCAATGTCGGGCGACAATGAATTCAAGCGATTGACACATTGCCATGAATAATAACTGCTTGTAGACTCCCAATGGACATTGTTTATGTTTGGACTGTTGAAACAATAGCAAAATAAAGGGTTGGGCAACTACTCTTTTGTTTAGGCTTGGGAAGAACAATGCAAGCTTTTTACAAATAATTTCAGCTGGAAGTACGTTGGTGGGCGGTTGTTGAGAGTTACTGGGCGGCCGTAAAACTTGATGGGCGGGCCGCCCGCCTAAAACCCCTTGTGGAGAACACTGACTAGAAACGTGTATTACCGTACCCATATTTTTACTGCCAGGGTGACATCAAATATATAAAATGGATATCGGTAAAACCATTTGTTAAAACACAAGGTCTATGGTTAAAACCAAGTTCACGCCGTGACTTGTAGCGGCAACATCATTACCGCCGAGCGGAACGAAGGCAGCCATGCACTTGCATGATCGGTAAACGACCAGCGCAGCTGACATACCAAAACAGACATTGCTGATCACCACTGATTGCTGATCACTGAATGCTTGCTTAAACACGTAAATGTTTATATTTTGACGAACGTCACTATTTGAAGTTGAATCTTCTTTAAATCACGATTTAAAAACCCTAGTAAAACGGTCATGCTTTCAACTCGCATCATAAGTGGAGGGAATAGATTTACTTGTGTTCTTCTTGGAACAAATATTCTGATTGGTTGTTTTTCGAGTCAATGTGTGTCTTTATCCAATCAAATGGGTCGTTACACAGTATCAGGGTGCACACAGTAAAATTAACTGTTTCCAGGTCATGGCTATTTTCAACGAAGCAGACATCAACAAACTTTTGGTTTGAATGAAAATTATTCTTTTAAGTATGTTTTTTTTTTATACATAATGCTATTATTTTTGATAGAAACTTAACTGCAGATCGAAAATCTTCTATTGTGTAGATTTTATTTCGTTTGATCATCTGCTTTTTGGTGCCGATGACGTACATTCATGCAAGTTTTTTAATGAACCAATTTCAAACGTTTTGTGCGACAACATAAATTTTATATTGCTTTGTCCAAATAATTAAAAATTACAATTTCTGCGACTAATTTGAAATTAATTAAGGCATGTATGCATCTATTTGGTAAAACAAAATAACAAACTTGTTTATAGTCTTTTTCTAGAAGCGATCATTATTGGTAAACAACTAATGTAGCGGTGATGAATCGTGGAGCTAAAATCAGCTGATTGTATGTGGTGACGTTTACTTAATAATATCTCTTCAATGTTCTCATTCATTTATGGAAACTATTTTAATAAATATATATATATATATATATATTATGCATATGTAATTGTACAATAGATTTTTGGGGTCCATTTTTTCAACATCCATGTCATGTCAATGCCACGCCCACTCCACCTTCATATTGGCGCGCCCTGTTTAATTTTCAAACCGTGGAGAACCCTGAGTGTCTCCTTTATATCCAAGGAATGGATGAGTGAGTGTGAGAATAAAGTGCTATCTAAGGCATTCATGCATTAAATTGAATTAAAGGAACATTCATCAAGAAAATCATTTTCACCTGTCAAATATGCAAATTAGTATGCAAATTAGCATGCAAATTAGCATGCAAATTAGACCGCCATGCTTGCCTCTGACCCTGGGGAGAACACTGTAACATGGACTATGGATTATGAAATCATTTTCACCTGTCGATTTCAATTTCAGAGTCACCAACATCAATTTTTGGCGAGTCATTAAAAGGCCAGATTGAAGAAAGATTAAAGTTCTATGAAACCGGTGTAGCACCAAGAAAGAATGTTGATGTCATGAAAGAAGCTGTAATCGAGGTAGGGTATCCACTTTTGTCTGATCATCCCCACCTCTAACTCTAAATCAGGTATATATACCTGATATATCAGAAGTGCAAGCTGCGAATTGAGTAAAACGTAAAGATAAATGCTTCAGGTGGGTGGCACATGAATACAGAACGTGTTAGCTAAGAAATAACCCTACTATGATGCTAAGTTATTCACTGCTGGGTCCATAAAATTCATTATTGTTATTCCCCTCAACCAGTAAATTTTAAAATGCTAATGGTTGAATAAATACAATGATTCATTTATTCCAAAGGCAACAACGGAACTGGAAGCAGCAAAGAAAAAAAAGAAGAAGAAAAAGAAAAGGAAATCAGGTGATCTTGAAAATGAAGAAGATGCTGAGCCGACGCCAAAAAAGAAAAAGACTGAAGAAGTGGCAGTTGAGACTCCACTAAAAAAGAAAAAGAAGAGAAAGTCTGAGGTGGAAGATGTAGAAGAGGTTACCGTGTCAACTCCAAATTCTAAAACTGAGTTTGAGACTCCCGTTTCGAAAAAGAAGAAAAAGAAAAAATCGAAAGAAAATGGGTTAGATGAGAGTACAGCTGCTGATGCTGATGAAAGTGTTGTCATGGATACTGAGGATACACCAGCATCAGGGAAGAAAAAGAAAAAAAAGAAGAAACATGCTGATTAATGCACAGGGTTTATGCATATTCAACTATAACTTTAAAAACACAAGCCCAATTTTATCATGTTAGTAATTTGATTTTTTGAAGTAGTTTTAATATCAGGGTCTATTTTACCAAGCTATTTTATTTCATTTACTGGATTGGGAATTATGTACATTATGTCACATTTGTTGCTTTATCGTCAAAAACAAAAACAGTTTTAACCCTCTTGAGCACCATAATTTTTCTTTGCAAACTTTTTCCAATATTTTTTTGATAATTTTGAACCAAATGAACATAATTCAGAAAAAATTCTGTTGGTTTTAAAATTTGCGAATGGTGATGAAAGTTGACTTTGGCGCTCAGTGACTTGTTTTTATGTGATGCTAAGGATGATTCACATCATTTATATTCATCTATTTTATAATTGGTCTAACAACTCAAAACATTCAAAATGAATGAGAAACAACCCAGTTTACAGCGCAGCGCGCATTAGATTGTGCATTCAATTGCTATTCCAGTTTTCTACTTCTTCCTGGCACAAGGATGCTATTCCCAGATAAATAACTGGTATGAGAGTTTTTCTTTTTCTCATTTTAGTGTTAAGTGGAAATTCCTCTTCTATTGTCACACTGCCTTTAAGATGCAGACACGCACCATGTGTTGTTGACTTTCTCCTCGCTAATGTACCTTGTCTTCTATTTTGCAAGCATTTCTGGCTCATATTTGTATCCACATTGTCTGAATGTGATTTAATATTGTTCCTTTTAACTTATCTTCTAAAGTACAGATTTAAATTGAGGAACATGTTCTAGGCCAACCTTCAAACAGATTGTTTGTTGCAGTCACGTGACTGAAATAACCCATTTTCAACCAATCATGAATGTAATTATTTTTTGGTTTACAATAAATGAAGTTCAATATCATGTACCACATGTGACCAGTTTCATTATCATATACTACAGCTGGCCACATTTAGGTTTTTGTGGCATTCAGCAGCAAATGTCTGGAGATTCCAGACTACATACTGACACTTGTGAATTAATCAGCTTCTTGACTGATATTCTTGGTACAGTACTGGTAGCTTTGATTGGCAGTCAATATATTTATATAGCCCTAGTATCATATACAAAATGTTTATTTTGGTGATTATGCAAGTTTTGAGGTTGTATGTGAAGTAATGGTACTGGCAATGTGTACCTTATGATACTGCGGCACCCAAATTAGTTCACCCGCTAAATGAAACAACTCAAGTATGTACATGGAGGAAACATTTGAAACGATAGGACACTGAGTGCAAAATCTAATCACATTGGTTGGTTCAAAGGCAGGCTTCCTAAAAATTTAATTTTTGAAACATTTTTAGTTGTCCTCACAAAGTTGTCTCCATGGCAAACTGATGCTGATCTCCCCCAAAATAATAAAATCATTGGTCATATCTGATGGGAAACTTGGTAGTAAGAGACTTTTGAAAAGAATTATCTTGGACATAAGAAAATTTGACTTTTCGAATGCAAACAAAAATCGGCAGAATTACTAGTAATCTGAGTAATGAAACAAACTTTACCTCTAGATGGCGCCCTGTATATTTCGTAATCAAGAAAATTTGAAAGCCATACAAATTATTTATATTTTGCCGAGTGTACAGTTCTACAAGATAAATGAAAGGCACTAACGCTAAATTAAAACGACATAAAAGAAAAATAAACAAAAAATGTATTTGAATGAGCCATAACATCGCCCATTTTGACGGTTTTACGTCAGATCAAAAATACTAGTATGTGAAAGCAGTGATCTGGAACATTATACCCAGAAAATGAAAATAAGACAAAATTGTGCGATATGGTGTAAAATGTTTTCTCCAGAATTTAGTTCCTTGAGTAATCAATAAATAAATTAATAGCCAAAATCGGGGAAAATGTCAGGATAAAAAAGAATGTGATTCTTCAGTCAAACGGTATATAAATCTTTAAAATGTTCGAGCACAATAGATGGCCTGAACCATTATGATGATGAAATGGTTAGCAAAATACGAACCGTGTCTAAGGGCAGTACTCCATTGCACTTGTATACAATGCAATGTCATAGTAATATCGTATGTCTATAGCTACTTTGCAATTCATCCGATCTCGTAGATGACTGTGGTGGATGACTGTCTAAAAAATGTTGCTTGCATATACAACCTGATAACAATATAGACTCAACAACATAAAAAATCAAATATTTGATTATGTAAGATGAGTCCTGTTTGGAGTGATTTAATTTCAGGAATATTGACACAATTATGACAAAAATATTTCGCTAATGCCCCCGCTAAAACATACCACATATGTCAACTCCATAATTTTTTTTATAAAGACATTGTAATAACTTGGAGTATTTTTGAGTATATTAAAAACAGCAGGACCCGGTTTATCGTAAATAGTTTGGCAGCTAACACAAGTTTCATTTGTTTTCAGTGTAAGTATTTCGTGGTAAAATAATAAAAAAAATCAGACCTGTATGTTAGAACGCGTTCACCTGCTCAACGTCATGTCAATTGTTTACCCAAATACTAAACCACCAGAGATGCTGTATTTGCCAAATAACTGCCTGCCACACTGACTTAATGTTATGGATGACATCCGCGCGCACATTAGTTTTCACCTGTTCTCAAAGAAAAAAAAAAAATCTCCGACGACGAGTCTCCACAGATCGGTTTTCTGTCCGGAACTTGCCGACTCATATTGTCGCAAAGCGCCGACTTGTCGTAAAACTCGTTTTGGACTACCTCAAAACCAAACTCCGCATAGTTAGATGCGCGTTACGTAAAGCGCAAAGACCTACAGGAAGAAGATTGTCTCAAAACATGCCAATTTTGTCATAAATGATCCAACATGGCGACCACACCACCAAAATATGTGAGCATAAAAGTTCAGAGGTAAAACGGAGGGATTGTTGTAGACTGGTACGCAATTGACGTTGGCCAGGGAGATGTGACGTTTACACAGCTATACGAGAGATCGGTAGCGGTAAGCGAGTTTCGCCCAGACAACTTTAAGGACATAATGTCCAGAGTGGCTGTCCCGCGTTTCTTCTGCAACGATGAGAGAAATGGGAGAGGAGTGGAGGTGTATGGTGGCCTAAAAGTCGGTCAGGCGACAAGTCAGTTCGATTACTTTGTCCGCATTGAAGTCTGTAACGAA